ATTTTTTGTTCCACCATTTTAAAAAGTTTTCAAAAACTGTTAGAAGACCAGTCAAGTTTTTGATTTTCATTCGCTAATTATGCGTTTCCAATGTTTATCTCATGCTTTGGGAAACATAATTTTGCCGTCTCTAACTTGAGACTTTGCTGATTACCTGCTAGTAGATATCAGAAGCTATCAATTACAAAAAAAACCAAAACAGCAAAAATGGGTCGGAATCATTGATTTTTCAGATCTGAAATATCCAAGAAAAACTTAATTTAAGACCTGAAATTAGATTTTAAATAATTTTTTTCAGATCTGAAATAACCAAAAAAACCAAAACAGCAAAAATGGGTCAGAATCATTGATTTTTCAGATCTGAAATATCCCAGAAAAACTTAATTTGGATCTGAAAATAGATTTAAAATTTTTTTTTCAGAAAAAATTTTTATGCGTTTCCAATGTTTATCTCATGCTTTGGGAAACATAATTTTGCCGTCTCTAACTTGAGACTTTGCTGATTACCTGCTAGTAGCTATCAGAAGCTATCAATTACAAAAAAAAAAAACCAAAACAACAAAAATGGGTCGGAATCATTGATTTTTCAGATCTGAAATATCCCAGAAAAACTTAATTTAAGACCTGAAATTAGATTTTAAATAATTTTTTTTCAGATCTGAAATAACCAAAAAAACCAAAACAGCAAAAATGGGTCAGAATCCTTGATTTTTCAGATCTGAAATATCCCAGAAAAACTTAATTTAAGACCTGAAATTAGATTTTAAATAATTTTTTTTCAGATCTGAAATAACCAAAAAAACCAAAATAGCAAAAATGGGTCAGAATCCTTGATTTTTCAGATCTGAAATATCCCAGAAAAACTTAATTTGGATCTGAAAATAGATTTAAAATATTTTTTTTTCAGATCTGAAATAAACAAGAAAAACAAATTTTCAGGTCTGAAATTAAATTGAAATAACCAATCTTTAAACTATGCAAGCGTTGTTGAAACATTCCACAATCTATTTCAGATCTGAAATTTAGATCTGAAAAAATTTATTTCAGATCTGTTTTAGAAATTTACTGGGTACCGGTGTATAAATATAGTCTTCGTGATTTTTGTATTTTTAATGCTGTGTTCAAAAAAACAGATGATGGGTTTTTATTGTTGAATATAAATCCGAGCTGCAAGTTTTTTCTAGTCTGATTCTGCTTCTGTGTTTTAGATATTTAATGAACGTCTACTTAAATTTGAATAGGGTCTGGTCTGTAAACATGTTTGTTTGATGTATCTGTATCACACACATCGTGTTCTGATTTAAATTTTGAGTTTTCTCATTTCTTATGTTCTAACGGTGTTTCTGAAAACAGTTTGCTTATCTTTTTGATCACTTTCATTTTGTCTGTATGTTTACTATCTGAGATTTCAAATCTTTTCATTTGGTTTCTTAAGACTATTTTTGTGATTTCCTATCGCTGGGAAACTGGAGATTATATGTTTCTGGAAATTAATTAATTTAGTGTGATCGGTGTTTAAGAAGGCATTATTTTCAAGTTGTTCATAGTTTGTTATTGTTGAATTTCAGCTTGTTTTTTTTTCTAGATGGCGAATAGATTTACAGTTTCTGCCTTCTTTCCAACTTTTTCTGCGTTGGTTGTGTGTGAAAAATTTCTATTAGGATTTCTGTAGAGAATTGTTGTCGACATCTAGGTTTAGATTGTTTTCCAGAAGTGAATGACTACCTATTGTTATTTGTGTATGATTTTTTAAAAAAAAGTTTCTACGTCTGTGAACGTCCGGATAAAATTTTTCTTGTCAAAAAGGATTTTGTGTAATTAGTTGAATCTACTGCTCATTGTGCTTTTGAACTAATGCTATTTTAGTTGCGTTAATCGTTTTAGTATCTTGATGAATGGAAACTGTTTTGTAAAGTAATATTTATTACGATGCCAAATTGTGCGTTCTTAGCATTGAACGCGGATTCAACAACAATACAAAATCAGATTTGTCGCGAAATCCGCATTCTTGCTACTCTCTTTTGATCTTCTTTGCTGTTTTGGTTTTCACAAACAAATACCGAAAACCAAATGGCCTTGACGGCTAGATAAACCTGAACAATTTACATGTATTGGCGACAAAATCGATTTCCTTATTTCCGTTTTGCCCAATTGAGTTTTAGTCCATAAATTACAGCGTTCAGCAGTGCTATGGCCATATTTTTGCAGTGAGACTACGATTTCATTAGAGAGGTTTGAGAAGTTTAAAAATATTATCTCCGCGAACAAGTTGAACTGGAATCACATTGAAAATTAATTTCAAATATTGGTTTAAAAACCATGGTTCTCACTAATTGTTTTCATAAAATCTTCATTAACAAGAACACATATGACAAGAAGGTCTTTTTTCTTTCTAATGCGCACGATGAACTTTTTTCTGCGCTTTGTTTTCTCCAAACGTGTGTTTTTATTTAATCATGGCACACGCAGGTCTTCGTTTCTATCGTTTTACATTAATATTTTATTGACTGAGAGTTTTTTGAGCTCAAAAAATTTCAGTTTATGTTATCACAGATACCAGCTTTTGAACTACCGTGCCTTTTTTTGTTTACCATTCCGAATAATATATAATTGCTATCATTTTACTGTAATCATTTCCCATTAAAATGTTGATTCATATTTTAGCTTACCAGGTAAGAGAACTTAAAGTGCTACGCCGGAAAATTAATACAACAACTTTGAATCCTCAAAACGTATTAAATTCCAACTCTAAGGGACCTAAAAGTATTTTTTTAAACAATTTAAGCAATTTGAAACCACCAAACATTGTCAACTATTTTTCTTTCTATCAGTTTCTTTTGTAAATTATGAAGTTTTATGGAAAAGAAACTAAACAGGTTGACAAATTGTGACTAAAACCTCTTTATCTTTTTGGCTTTCTATAAGACAATTTATCAGACCTGTTCATTTGGTTTTGAAAAAATCAGGTCGAAATAATTTAAGCACTGGAGTTATGTGCAAAGAAAGCGACATTTGGTCAAAAGTGACATTTCGATTTTTTGTCAACGAAGCGACAACTCGCATGGGCCGATGATTAGGGCAAGGATACAATTGATAACAGTAGATTGGTAGAACACTGATTCCCGCCCTTAGTGCCGAGTATAAGCGAAGCGGAGCCAGACGAAGCAAGCCGTTCCCCTTTGTCAATAGCTTTATAGGAACTGGTGCTGTTTCTAAATGCAATCAATTTTCGGACAGATGTTTCTCTCGAAAAATACAGCACGGTCGCTTTCCGAAGTTTTAAAATTCAGTTGTTGTATAGGAAACGAAATTTTGAAATGAAAAAAAAAACCACGAAAAAAGCTGCACCCATAAAAAAATTCGATTAAAAGACGACCGCTGTTGTGCAAACAGATGAGAACAACCTTGTTATAATGGTTTGAAAAAAACTTTAAAAAGCTACAAAAAAAAATAAAACTTTTATAAAACAAAACGTTTATACCAAACTTTAACAAAGGGTTGAAAAAACACAAGAATGTGTTTTATTTGTCGCTAAAAATATTTAATCCTTTCTTTTTGGTAATTATGATAAATTGTAAAACTAAAACTATTTATAGTTCCAGCCAGAGAAGAAATAATTCAAATTAGAAAGCAGTTGCACTTCCTCTCCTTTATCCTCGCAAGAATAACAGTATATTCTAGATCTATTGAGACCAGGAAACATGAAAGTATCATTAGGATCGATATTAGACTATGAAATTGCACTAATCTATCCGGCCGAAAATTAGATAGCGTGACGAACAGACGGTGTTCCCTATCCGAAATTACTCGATGAGATTGCCACCCGGAAATAAACTAACTTGACTCATACTAGTGGAAATCAGATTGGGAGGGAAAATTTCACGATAGACTATAGATCCTTCCCTTCATTCAAATGAATTTTGAACCGCTACAACAAAATGCGTTTTTGACACATTTTTGTTCTGACCATTGAAAATGGGGAGGATCTTTTTATTCGGATGTGTTTTAGTTTTTTTACAGCTTTTTGTTTTCAATTCAAAACCAGCTACCACAAATAATTATCGGACAGGGTTGAGTGATGTATAATAGTAAAGCATTTTCAGTCGTGATTCAAATAAACTTCAAAATTTCAAACAATTTTTTCACAGTGCTGAGAAAAACCGGTTTGATTTTTTTTGTCTAATTTTGAGATAACTAATAAGGTAGTTTGTAATTTTAATGGCTTTTTTAAGCTTGATTGACTTAAGCCATGGAAATTTAAATTTACTCAACTAAAGATAGGTTTTGCAGTTTTAAGCGCAATTCTGAGAATAAAAAGTTGAAAATTCAAAAAACTTGGAAATTTTCGAAAAAATTTTCGACTTTTTTTTCGTTTTTCTAGTCAATTTTCTTCAAAAACCATTTTCCAATTGACCTCTTTTACTATGAATCTCAAATATGCCTACGATCTCCTTATTTGTTTTATCGCAACATGCAACAGACCTTTTTACCCATAGGACAAAAAAAAACTACATATATTTTTTTGTTTTTTTTAAACTGTGGTTCGAAAATTCTGTGCTAATTGCACAATAACCGCTACTCTGGTATTTTTCATTTTTGTCCTGTTCTCAAAATGTTATGGCCAAATATGACCTTTTTCACCAGTGGATCTAAGGGCGCGGACGCCCTACTTCGGGGATTTGATTCCTGTAGATACAAAGGGTTCCCCCTTTGCGCGGAATAGTAATTTTGAAAGGAGATCGCGCGCCCAACAAATGCAATTGTTGTGTCAAAGTTTTCAAAAAGTGCCTGAATTACCTTTTTTGGCCTGTTTTTTCAATGCTTGCTTTACCTGAGGCGCAGAAAGTTTACCCGAAACAAAAGTCTTTTGAGTGCTGATGGAGGGCTCGGAAAATCAATTTGGTTGATCCAAGAAAGAAGTCGACAAAATTTTTGAATATTTTGAACACCAGCTTCCCGCGTCCTCGAGAAAACTTTAGATCCATCCCTGGTAGCCTTAAAATAACATTAAGAGTCCAAACTGTGCATTCTGTGCATTGTAAGCGTATTCCGCAACAGGCTCAAATCAGATTTGTCGCGGATTCCGCAACATTACTATGTTTTTTTGATCTTCTTTGCTGTTTTGGATTCATAAAACACTGTACCGTTCAAAATCGCTCCAAAAACAGGCGAATTTGCGAAATCCGCAACCGTGTTTGCGAAATCCACAACAGTTTGTGGAATCCACAAACAAATAATAAGACATGTGTATAGTTCAATTGAGCTGTCGCGGAATCCGCAACTGTAAGAGGAATCCGCGAACTGTAAGTGGAATCCGCAAATTGTAAGTGGAATCCGCAAATTCTAAGTGGAATTCGCATTTTGTTTGCGGATTCCGTTTAAATATATGTCTGTGTAGTTTTGTGCATTCTCAGCATTCTGAGCAATTGAGACGGGACAATTCTTTGAGAATACGACATTCAGAGCTATAAATTTGTTTATTATTTGTGAGATAGTTATTAAGAAATATTTGAATAGCTAACTCATGATTTCACTGTCATCTCATCCCAAACACTATCTTCATAAATTGAATTCATGGTCCTAAATTCTGAATCTGAAATACTGAATCCCAAATACTGAATTTCAATACTGAATCCCGAATACTGACCTAATTCGGCGATATCTTTTCGGGACACTGTCATTTTATCCCAAATACTATCTTCTTGATTTGAATTCACGCTCCCAAATTTTGAATCTCAAATACAAAATCCCAAATTCTGAATCTCAAATACTGAATCCCAAATACTGATCTATTCCGGCGATATGTCAACCCAATAATGTAATAATCCAATTACCGAATTAACCCAATGAATTTATTCGGTGTTGTGTTTCCAAAACTTTGATCCCAAAAACTGCTTGCAATTACTAAAGTGTGACACCCGTCGATTTATTTAACCATTTTTTCAAGATTTTTTTGTGGGTTCCGCTGACAATGGTTAAGTCCTTGCTTTAAAATTCCACAAGTGCAAATGCAACTTCAGTAATAAATAAATTTCTGAATTCATTTGCAGTTTGCGGATTCCGCTGACAAATTTTGCGGAATCTACTTACATTTGTCGATTTCATTTACATTTTGCGGAATCCATTTACAGTTGCGGAATCCAGAACAACTAACTATGTTTGCTTGTTGCGGAATCCGCAACAAATTAAATGTGCCGACAAAATTTACGTTACAAGTATATGTACATGGATTTCACTTAAATCTTGTAAGTGGAATCCATTAAATTTTGGAACATGTTTAAATACTTGTCTCTGGAATCCAGAAACATACCGACACAAAATTGTGCGTCTATCCAGTGCACAGTTTGGCCTCGTAATCAAATTACAACTTACATATAAAATGCAACTTTAAATATTTTAAATGTAATCTAATCTCATTCCCTATTCTTATCCTGTTTTTTTTTGTCGCAACCTGATTTCGTTAGCAACTGATTACTTTTTTCTACTTAACTGAGCTTCACAAAAAATCAAGCTCGCATTGTTTGAATGCCATGTTTAGGCATAAAAAATTGAGATGATAAATATAATGAAATTATATATACTATTTATCACAAGTTTTTAGATTTTGAATCCGTTGTAAGTGAGTACATGAGTGAGTACATGAGTTACCGAAGTTTTTGTCGTTGCCTTTACAAGCAACAATGTTCAGTCGGTTGAAAGCTTACATTTTTTCAGAACCAATTTTGTAAAGTGAGGTAAATGCGCTCAAATTTTAGAAAAATCTGATTTCAAGCTCGTCAAAAAGTAGATAATTAAAATACTTAATTCCCGTATTTCAAAAATCAAGACAAAATATTAGACAAAGAAAATATAATTTGGTATCTAAATAGCCGAAATATGAGTTTAGTGATTTTAAACATAAATATAATCCAAAGCGTAGCCCGAATTTTAATGGTTTGAGTAGTTTAAAGAACTTGAACCCAGTAGTGGCTTGATCGGCGCGTGATTTGCGACAACTTGTCCCCAGATTGTCAAAATTTGAACCGAAGAATGACTGTCAAATAGGAAGTAGCTATTACTTCTTACTGCTTAATATTAAACTGTTTGTCGTTACATTTCAGTTTTGCCCATTGATATATCGATAATTTTTCGTAATTTTTTTTTCTTATCTCATTTGAGGGTTTGAAACTGACGTTAATACGATTATATTTTTGCCAATATGCCAAATGAAAAATGCATTTTCAATTTTGAGTCGTTGAATCGTTCGTGTTCTTAAATTGATTTTTTACAGACTGAAAGTTTTGGTTAAAGGCCTTTTTGTTTTCATTTCCGTGATTTATGTTCAGACATTCATAGTAATTTTTGGCATCTCCAGAGTTTAGCGACCACAATTTGGCATTCGCGAGTATGATATGGCCTTTTCCGATTTTCGAGACCAAAAAAGTCGTGACTCTCACGTTAGATGAGGAGACGGCGCGACCAGACATTAACAACCAAGATTCTTTATTTTTCTATTTCTGCGACCAATTTTTACCGTTTTCAGGCAGCCGACCATCTCTATCGCGAATTTTGCAACCCAAGATGGAGAAGACGCAATCGGTTTGATCTAAGCAGCGGCGGAAGTAGCGTAAACAGAATATTCGTAATTCCATAATTCCAACCGTAAAGTTTTATCGTGATTTTCACGACCAAGGTCGAGACGGCTCCTGGCCGTGCCAACTTACCTTAAGAACCTCAAGGTCAATGCAACCCGACAAGCAGCGGCAACATTAGTTTTTCTAACTTCAGCCTTTTTTGCAATTCCGTCGCGATGAGAGAATGTGGTAGGTGCAAACCGATATACAACGGCGCGACGGCGCGATCAAACTTTACCTCTTCCTTATTTTCACAGCCAAAAATTTACTTCGCATTTTTTCAACCCATATGAAAGGGCGTCTACATCTCCAGTCATTCGAGACAAAGTTCGGTCATGTCCTATTATTCGTGAACAAAACAAGGCATTTCCCGCATTTCGTGACCTATAAGAACCGTCGCGTTTTTCACGATCGACATGGAGACGGAATGATTAGACATTTGCAGCAAATATTCTGTATGTATCGAATACTGCGACCAAATTTTGTCATTTGCAGACTTTCGCGGCCAAAAAAATTCCGTCGCAACTTCCAAGACATAGGTAGAGAATACGCAATCGGCACGATCTGACTTTTGCGATCAACAGAAAGTTTTGCCGTGACTCTACTAAAAATGTTGGAGAAAGACGGTACCGGGGAGAGATCTAAAAACATCACGGTCGCCGGTCCATCAATTTGCGACCAAGTTTTGCGGTCCATCATTTTGCAAAAGCCAAGTTTGTTCGCCTCTATCGAGCCGCTGCCCGAGTCGAGATTTTTCACCTAATTTGAAGCAAGATTTGAGCGGTTTGAGCGGTTTTTTTAGACAATTACGCTCAAAATCTTGCTTCAAAATGAGCGGTTTGAGCGGTTTTTTGAACGGTTTATCTAAAAAAAACCGCTCAAAAACCGCGCAAGATTTGAACGGTTTTGAGCGGTATATCTGAAAAACCGCTCAAAAACCGCGCAAGATTTAATAATAAAAAGTCGACCACAGAGGGATTCGAACCCGCAATCTTCTGATTCGAAGTCAGACGCCTTATCCGTTAGTCTATGCGGACTTGCTGGAAGCTTAATATTTGCTGTATTTGTTCTACTGAATATGTTCAATGTTTTAGACATGCAAAACAAATATACTGTCAGGATTTTTATTGTCAGTCTCTACAAAATAACAAAAATAATCGATTATAAGATCACACACCAACCCCCCCCCCCCACCTCTTACTAGAGTTGATGTCCCCCCTCACCTCTTACTAGAGTTGATGTCCCTTACTAGAGTTAGATGTCCCCTAACTAGAGAGAGAGGGGGCACGTCGTGATTGGGGGTTTCGTGGGGGGATGGTTAAACGTGAGGGGGTTACGTCGTGGGTTGGGGGGTACGTTGAGGGGGGGTACGTTGGGGGATGGGGGGGTAAACTCAAGAGAAATGTTGAGTCTGGGACCTCGACCCGGGAAGACCGCTCAAAAACCGCTCAAAAACCGCTCAAATCTTGCTTGAAAAACCGTTCAAAAATCACCGCAAGAAATGAGCGGTTTTTTAAGCAAGATTTGAGCGGTTTGAGCGGTTTTTCCAAAAAAAACCGCCCAAACCGCCCAAACCGCTCAAACCGCTCAAATCTTGCTGGAAAACCGCTTAAACCGCTCAAATCTTGAGCGGTTTTTGAGCGGGATCTCGACCCGGGTGTATGGGAAATGCACCTGTCGGAACGCCTTCACCTCGCGCGCAAAAGTCGCAACTGTCGAGACCCGAAATGTTAATCATACAATTTCATACACTTAGTCTATGGAAAAATGCTAGTCATACAAATTGTATGATTACCATTTCATACAATTTTGCAAAATGAGTTTAATCGAATTTAAAAGGTATTTTATTGTTGTTTTGGTATCGAAATTGGTATCTCTTTATGAAAAAAGGAAAAAAATGGTACGAAAAAAGCCAATCATACAGTTTCCATATATGAAAAAATACTTATCAGAGACCTTTCAAGCTATTTTCTGTTGGTATGGAACTGCATGGAAAGTGTACGACTAGCATTTTTCCATATATGGAAATTGTATGGCCAGCATTTTTGGCCAACCCATTTTTGGGAACGCGAAAGTTCCGAATATATATGTCTGAACTTTTGCGATTATATATTCAGACTTTCTATGACTTCGCGACTGTAAAATTTGGGTCTGGATCCGGATGTGGCACGACTCTCAAAGTCTAGACATACTTCTGGAATCTCGATCCGGGTTGGCATTATTAAAATTACTTTTGTTCCTGACAAAACATTCTAAGCATTCTAAAGCGTCCTTATTTTGCAAATAATTTAGTTGCCAGTAGTTGTATCGAGATTTCTCAGAAAACCTCTGCTAAGTAAAACCTGTTCTGATTGATATCCTTAAAGTTTCTTTATTTCGGATTCTGAGAAATACGACAACGATATAACTTTTACCTATATATATAACAGCCATATGCTCATATAATCTTCTTTCACATTCAACGTTTCTCTCTGTTTTAGCACAATCCGCTTGCTGTAGCTTATATAGAACTTTTCTTATATCTTCGTCAGCTTATAAATTCCTATTCCGGAACAATTTTCCTTTATAAACACGTAGATAAATATCGCTGTAATAAATGGAGGTACCGGACATCAAGCCGACGGGACTTCAAGCAGAACTGTAAAATTAGGAACTACAAGCTGAATAGTTACTTATAAAGTTGTGAAATATTAATAATTTGAAAAAAAATTTTAAAAGAATTCCTGAATTTCATGATCCTTCTTCACTAGCTATTGGCGTTTGCATATAATTTAAGCTTCCAATTGATGTTTTAGAAAGTTGAAAAGTAAAACATGATTGAAGGCATTTTTCGAGTTTATAATTTATGCATTTCAAAATCGGCTGAGGTTATTAACGGACGCCAATCACAAGTGGTGCATTGTCATGAATAACGCTTATTATGGACAAAACTTGCCAAAATTTTTGAAAAGCAACGTTGTACAGATGATAAAATAGCGTTTTGAGGTGCTTGTATAGTTTTAATTTCGCCTTGAAGTCCCTTCGGCTTGAAGTCCCGTCGTCTTGTAGTCCTAGACCCAATAAATGGTGCGTATTCATAGGTTCCAAAATGAAAAGTCAGTCCTCAAATTTTTTAATTGGTCGAAAGATTAAGGCTCTTTTTCCTTTCCCATTCCCACCTGCAATTTTTTACATGTAAACTTGTTGTTCACGTTGTCCGATTGTTATGAAAATTTACATACAGACTAATAAGGCCACGACAAACATGTTTGGTTTTCATACTCAGCCTCGTAAAACCACTCGTAACACTAATTTATTGAAGCTCGTGCGAGGTGGGGGGAAAGGAAAAAGAGCCAAGACTAAAATAGACGAGTCTCGGTTTAAGGTCGCCGGTGGGCGCCCGTACCGAACGGAAGCTGTTATTCTAGATAGAAATTCTATGTAGATTATCTAATCTAGTTTTCTCGTATTTTCCGTGCAGAAGTGATCTATTTCTTTTCTAGTTTAGAAACAAACAGTTTCTAGAAAGAAATAACCAGAAATCAGTTAACTGCTCAACCGCAACGAGATAAACATGCTTCGAGTATAGACACTAGCACTAGCGAATACAATGCAAACTTACACTTGTTATAACACTGTTATTCTACTAAAGCTAGTGATTTGTATCAAGGGATGTATCCCAGTGGATAGAGCAAGAGTATAGCAATCAGAAGGGCGCGGGTTCGAGCACCATCAGTAGCCTTTTTCTAGCTAGAAATAGCCTAGATTTAGCTAATTTCTGATCAGAATTAGGATAAGAAATAAAGTATTTAAAGAAAATCCGTGCTTTATTTAAACATTTCAAAAAGAATTTCTGACTAGAAATTAGATTAGATACAAAGTATTTCAGGTCAGAAATAAAAAATTTTCTCGGTTCGGGCGCGCTATGCGCCCATCGCCGCTTTGCGGCGATAACCGGCTCTAAATTTCGTATAGAATCCTACCCTTTGGTGGCAAGCTCGCAACACGTTGGCGCGGCTGCGGCGGTTATTATTCTGCAGTTTGAGTTTATGCTGCTTGAACAGAATACAATCAATCCAAAAATTCGTTGGCTCAAATTTCAACAAATAAGAATTCAATAAGATAAATTTTGGAACTTATGCGACTGATTTTTTATTTTGGGAGCTATGAATATTGGAACCTATTGGAATTCACCTAATAAATAGATTTGTTCCAACTAAAGATTTCATTTGTTTTGAATGCAGGGTTGAATCGTTAAGTGCATGTTTTATTTATAGTAAGACCACATGCGTTGGTGAAAACTTGCCAACATTATGAACAACTTCAATGATGAGTTGAACAACTTCAGAATTCATTTACCTGGAGGCGATGAAATTTCAATCGCAGATGAAGCCGCGGTGTTAAAACTGTTCGAATCTCAGAATCCAGATTGGTCAACCGCTGGACACGTGACTTCAATTCCAATCGCTAGAGTTCCTCGCGTCTTTCTCCAAAATTCCGAAATGACCAAAAACTTCGTTGACCGATACAGTTCCTTGCAGACCGGAGAATTTGGAGAAATTGACACTTACGAAAAATTGTTGAGTCTCAAAAACATGAACCAGGTCGGAGGCACTCTCATTTTTCCCAACGTCGATGGTAACCATTTTAATTCGCCGGAAGCCAAAGTTGAAATAGATTTCGTCGTAATTGATTCTCAGAAAGGAGTAATAGTTATAAGTGTAAAAAATTCAACGCTGGTTAAAAAAATGAACCATGTCAAAGACATGGAAAAACACACGAAATTCATTCGTTTGCTTCGAGACTTTAGCCAATGCAATGCACCAGTTCCTCCAGTACATGGACTTATATGTTCCTTAAAGTCTGATGTTAATGTTGACAAATTGCAGAGAGAAGGATTTTGGAAGCTGTCGGATTCCCACGAAAAAAGATTCGTTTTTCAGCCAAAAGATATGATAAATTTTCTACCTGCTTGGGAACGTATGCTAGGAGAGATGCCAAATTTAGATCAAAATCAAGCGAGCAATTTGTCCAAGTTGGCTTCTAAACTTGCGATTTTGAACTCGATGGAAGGTACTTTATCATTTTTGCACGAAAAAGTTGAGTCAAACGCTATTCAGGAAATTAAATTGAAAAAATCTGAAGCGTCAAAAATGATAGAAGAAGCTGTATCAATGAGTGCAGCTAGCCAAAACTTGGACGTTGCCGAAGTTTCAGCCCTTATGCAACAAGTTCCTGCAAGCAGCGCGACCTCAAGTTGCAATCAAAAAAACAAAAAATCGTATTTTTTGTGGACAAATGACCAGCTAAACGTAATTTGTCAGATAATCGCAGAGCTGAAACAGCATAAACCAACCACAAAAGGATGTCGCATTCTAGTGGCTGGGCCCAAAGGCTCGGGTAAAACGATGCTACTTCTTTATGTAGCGGAGTTAGCCAAACTAGTTCTAGCACCTGATGAGAAAAACATGCAACCCAAAATTGTTGTATGCGACGGACGTTTGGGCTCAACGCAGATTCTTTTTGAAAAATTGAAGAAGCAATTAAGCAATAAAAACATTTTCGTTTATTCTGAATTATTTGGCAGTGAAACTTTGCTTAACTATTACGATCTAGTTCTTGTAGACGAGTATGTTCACAACCTTGGATCTGGCCACATTTCCAAATTTTCGCGTTCACAGCATGTCATCATTTTCACGTCAGACATAGCAACGATCTCTCCTAAAACACAACTTCTACCGAGTTTCCAGATCCTGAATTTATCGTGCTCCTTGCGATCCACAGTAGAACTGGCAAGTTTTGCAGAAGACTTCCGAAACATGGATACTGAAAACCAGCTCATGAGTGTCAGATCCGGACACAATTATCGAGGTCCTGAACCTACTGTAAAAATACTCGACTTCGATTCGACACAGGATCCCGAGCAGACAAGATTCGCCGAGGAGGCATCTAAATACATCAAACAAGTTGTCCTGGAATCACGCGGTTTGAAAAGCATACTAGCAGTTCCATATGTTCATGCCATTACATTGAGTCGAGTATTAACACAACTGGCGAATGACAAAATCTACTACGAGTACAAAAATCCCGGAGATTTTTACAGCAAATCCCGCCATCTTTGCGAAGATGAAGAAAATCCAGAAAATAATCATTCCACATCTGGTAATTATCCGGTCGTGACCTTTGTAACTGGAAATCACGTGGATGGGGCGGAGTATGGCTCCGTAGTTGTGCTGCTCGAAAGATCCCTCCCTCATTTCTGGCACAATTTTCTATTTCTAAATTTGTTCATTGCATTCACCAGAGCCACGACAAAACTTGTTATTGTCGTGAACAATGTAACAGAAGCTCCTGTGGTTGGCTGTAATCTCAGCTTGCCATCAGAAGAAAACGCGCCCTCTTTTTGGCATATGGTTGGTCCTAACTTTGATCCCCAGTATGCTTACTCTTGGATTAGAACAGATATGTCCAATTTGGCAAGAAAAGTAGTTGCCATTCTTGAAAAAAAATTCAGGTCACCCTATCCTATCATTTTGTTTGGTACAAATCCCAGAATTCAGGGCATGATCGAAATTGACCCCCCTATCCAATCGGACCCGGCTGCGAATCTGAGTGCCAGAAAATTAAAATGGCTGAGGTTGCCAAATGAAAACACAGTGGTTCTGTTGAGAAACGACAACCATTTGCTGTATCTGGGAACATCTGATTTCCACCAAGAGTTTTGCGCCCTCATTTTTGTTATTTGCTCAGAAAATGATTTCCTCAAAACCGTGAATCTAATCGAAAGGCATAGATTGTTATACTTCATGCATGAAAGACAACTTGGCTTTTCACCAATTTATTTGGTAACAACATTTGATATTAAACGTTCGGCTCTTGATACTCACAAAATTTGCAAGTTTTTGTCAAAAAAAGGACAAACAGTTGAAATTTTTGACAACCAATTACAAGAAACATCACAAAAATTGACGAAAACAGCGTCAAACCACCAGCAGAAAAAGGAAAAAAGAGAAGGCCAACACAAACATCAATTCAAATTTGACAAGATTCCAAATTCAGAACTATTTGGCAAATCGTCCCAGAAAGAAAACACGAGCGATTTGACGAGAAGTTTTGACTTGCTAAACATAAAATACAAAAATCAGCTAAATTGTTCAAAAATTGAAGAGCTATGTACAATGCGGATGAATCTTGCCGATCTAGTGGGAAAACTTGCTTATTGTCACTATCTTCGATCTGTTGAGCAAAACAATCTTGATGAAAAGAATCTGAGCCTCGCTATAGATTTTTTCTCGAAAGCACAAGATCTGAATCCGATTTCGATGATTGAACATTTTGAGCATTACAAAAAATGCTTGAACCTCCTGTCTAAAGATGCCAAAATCCTTAAAAAAGTCGACAATCAGGAGAAAGAAGCGCGACACATTTTGAAAGTCGGAACACAAAAAAAGAAAATAGAAGAAGCTGTGATTCAAGATAAAATCAAGGGTAGCCCTTGTTACAATTTGATCAAATTCAAATCGGACTGTATGTTACTGGACAAAAGTGAAAAGTGTTGCCATCATTCGGTATTTGGCGCAATTTTGGCTGCGTATCTTGCTAGAAAGAAACAAGTGTCATTATTGATGAATCCAGGAGTTTACGAGGAGCTCTGGCCAGTGGCACTAGGAACCCTGCCGCGCCTCCAGAGCTTATTCCTTCCCTGTGAATTGGACATCGTTGGAAACTGGACTCCTGAAGATAAAAACTCTTCCAATAAATGGATCACTAAAGACCCTCCTATAGTGATCCAAAACGTGATACAGAACTTTCCAGGACACAATTACACTTTCAATTTATTGGCGGGTACCATTTATCTAACAAGGGTATCGGTAAAAAATTGGCAACCTTTTCAAACCGCTGCTATTTACAGCGGCTTCAATTCCGTCGTGCATGCTAAACAATGTTCGTTTATGTCTAAATGCGGCGCAGCAATTTCTCTTCACGATGACTCGGAAGTAACTTTGGAAAAATGTCGGTTCGTTGACACATACGGAGCTGTATTATTAACATCCGGGGAAACTATTGGGAAAGTGTTCAACGTCCAAGCTGGCGAAAGTAAGCTGCACATATCAGATAGCCTAATCAACAAAACAAAAGTTATAGGCATTGAGTTGCGAGCAAACGTCTCAGCTCTGATTGAAAACTGCAGGATTCAAAACTGCTCTAAACGGGCCATTTCTGGCATATTCGGAAGCAGCATTACTATTAGAGACTGTTTTTTTGAAGCAAACAGTTTCAAAGCCACAGTCGACGATGGTGCAATTTATTTGCATCGTTGCAAAACTTCAATCTTGAGCTCAGCTATAAGGCATCAACCTGGACATGGAATTGTTGCAGAGTACGGTCAAAGTATTTTCAACAAAGTGTCCATCAGCGACTGCAAATCTGGGGCTATTTTGGTTGCCGGGGAGTGTTCCGTTAGCCACTGTGATTTTCAGCACTGTCGTTTTGGAATGGTTATTGGACGAACAGGCGTGTTGAGAATGTCATCTAATAAGATTACGCAGTGTAATGCAAAGTTCGCAAGACTTCCGGGTTCGAAAGCTCCAATAAACATGGACACGAATTTAGAAGAGACTGAGTCAACAATACAGGGTTCAAATGAACCGTGGGAAATTGAAAATTACGCATCAATGATTTTCGAAAAACGCGCAAAAATTCGCGAGGAACTGCAAAAGAAACGCACTGAACTAGGCGATGTTCTGGGGGTTGAGCAGCCATTCTCACTTTCTTGTGGCTTTTGTACCGTGGATGATTACGAAAGAAGGTCGCAATACATTCTATGCCCACGATGTGAAACAACAGTATTCTGTTCGAAAACTTGCCTAGAAAAAAGTGAAGTTGTACACAAACCAGATTGTGATTGGACAACAGATGTTCTTGAAAAATTAAGAGAAATCAAGTCGAGCGAACTGGGCAAACAAAAGAGAGCTGAATCACTGCAACAAAGCTCCAGAACTACAGAGAAAACGGAGAGCGAAAAACTCGTACCTGGCCGCAGAAAAAACCGTCGCAATGCAAAAAAGAAGTAAACAATATATAAGTATTTTTTTCTGTAATCATTGGTGTCTATCCTTTCAATCTTTAACAGTCTGATTTTTGTTTTCGACAGATTACAATGTAAATAAATGAGCAGATTCAATTTAAATAGCTGGATTGATCTATCTCACACCTGAAACCATCCGCATCCAGTTTCAAGCAATAATTGGTTAGACTTTGGTTTTAGTACCACTTCTACAAAAATTGAAAAAAAAAATCTATTGTAGCAAATTGATAATCGATTATAATCTCTCTCGTTGGAAATAAAATAAAATCAAGGGTAAAACGCTTCAATCGGCTGTAACCGATTATTGGTCAAATTATATCAATTATTGTTTTCATCTATTTTAATTCATTTCTTCATCCCAATTACTAATGTATTTGTTATGCACACAATTTAATTTAATCAATTATAATCCATTTGTTTGTTAATATTGGTTCAACCTTGATCTGAGAGGCTTATATTTATGCTTTTTGACGAACATTGGTCTATGTGATGACTGGGAAAAAGATTTTAGAAGTTTTCAAATCAATTCATTTTTATAACAATTTAGTTTTTTCTCGATCAGAGTTGTTTCATAATGCAAACTTTTAGGTTTTTAACCCCGATTTGAGTGTTTAATTTTCATGATTTATTTTGGAAATTTAATTTTTATCTACCGAGAGATCCATCCAAGTAATTATAAAGGATCTCGAGGAAAAACTTTCTGTTCAGGTGAACTTAAATGTGACAAAGCTTCTCACTTTTAAATAGTTTGTTAATGACAGAAAAAAATCAAAAAGAATGATTTGAAATAAAGTTTTGGAGTGACTAAATGTCGCCAAAATGAAAAAAAAACTTTTCAATTATAATCACTTACAACCGAACCGAATTGAAGTTTTTCTCTGTATAAACTTTACTCACTTTTTAAGGGATCAAGAGACTTATATTTTTTCGGAAATTTTTACGATTGTTATTGATTATAAATTGTTTGTGCACCATTTTTTGGTAGTGATAATTGATTATTATATTAGTTGTAATTATGAACGTATTAGCGCTTGTCACTCAAAGTAGTCTCAGCGTCAACGGACTTTACAGCCAAGTTTTTAAATCAGAGAATATTATAAAAAAGGGGGAAAATTGTATTTTCAAAAAGTTTGTCGGTTCAGAAAGTTTAACGGAGCGTTCTGATAATACAATAAAAGAAACTTACTTTAAGTCAACTTATAATTGCCTTTCCTTATCATTCCAACTTGAAATGAAACAGGATGAGGGATAAGTACGCTCATTTTAATGTGTTCTGTCTGTGTACAGCTTGTACTCGGGATGTACGTGCAATTGTACGAAGTTATTTCTAAACTTCTTCTCCAGGAAGGCATCTAAGACGCTTAATTCAGTGTCCCATGATTCCCGTGAAAACTGACACGACCAAAATTTTTGTATGGTTATTGAGTCAATAAAGATTTTCATACTACGGGTAATTTTCGCCAGCTCGTTTTGCGGATATATCCTTATGTGGATGATCACATGCGTTATTACCTCCGCACGTTATAACAACTTGAGTAAACTTTTGAAGGGTTTTCAAATCAGTTCAGGTCTGCCAGCTTGTAATTTTAAGCCGGAGAAACCAATAATTGTAATAATGGGAATAACTGAATGGTGGGTTTTATATAACAATTCTAAACTTATAACATGACTATCGCCAATAATTACATCGGAATTTGCCATTTCAAAAGTGAAAACGATAGTTTTCTATCAATTTAACGGATTTTTACGAGCCGAATTATGGGTCGTTTCTACATTACAGTTTTAGTTTTCACTTCTGCTGATATACTGATGCCATCTTCATTATAGTTTAATTTCACGATTCTTCATAAGTGAAACTTGTCTGGTGCATCGAAATCTATTCCTTTTGAAACCTGTGCCAGATTTAACTTGCTTTTGTTTGGGCTGCTTTCAGGCTCCTGTGATGACCTTAGTCCTCCTTTGAGGAGTTTCGAAACATTTCTGACCCAGGTAATCTATTCAGATATTGATTTGGGGTTATCGCCTCAAAATTTTCAGTGTCAGCCGCAAGGGTGTAAATGATCTTTGATTTAAGATTCCTTCCACGATGCAAATAGTCGTTCTCAGGATGTCTTCATTCATGTTCTGTGTTCCTAAGAAATTATACTTTGCTTTCTTAGCAATTATCAAAAGTCTTTTTCAAACTCCTCCAACGTGTGGAGCATTGAGAGAGTTGAACCTCCACTCGATGTATCTCTTGGATATTGCTTCTTCTGTTTTCCATTCCTTCATCTGCTCTTTTAGGTGATTATTGATACCCACGAAGTTTGTTCATTGTCGCTGATGATGAGATCGGGTTTGCCTTCGTGCGCAAAAAAAAACAATTCAACTTTCCTTCAGTCGACAAGTTGTACTCTTGTGGTAAGACAAGTCATCAGACATATCCATCTTTTCTCCGACAATCTTCTGACCTTCACATTGAAGGGCCCAAAGTAGTCAACTCCGTTGTTCTCAAATGGTCTACTGAAGTCCATTCTAACTTCGGATAGATCCGCCATCATGGATTGTTCATCTGAGAAAAATTTTGACAAGGAACACACTTCGGTTTTATTGATCTTAGCTTGTTTCTCACAACCAAACCCAATAGTTTTCTTGAATCATACTTCTCAGTTGTTCAATTCCCACATGATGATTTTCTAAGTGTTCGTTTCTCAGGAGAATCCCTGTGACATGATGCTTGCAATCCAATGTTATTGGAAGGCTTTTGTGCGAATGTCAAGTATTTTGACTTCACTATTCTGCCCCTTGCTCGCAGTAATCCATCCGCATCTAGGAATGGATTCAATTTTCAAAAATGAGTTTGTTTGTCTTCCTTGAAACTCTCTTTTTGAACTGATCTGAAAATTGCTTTTGTTGCTTAGATCTTTTCTTCATTTGTGATGATCAAACTCTTCGGTTTGTCTTTTTCTTTTGCTCTTATGCACTAAGCAACTGTATTTTGGAGTATTTTGAAATTACTAAACCTATGTCAGACCCTGATACTTTGATGCTGCATTGCAAACTCTTCTAACTTTGCCTAGTTTTTGAGGGTGAAAAACGGGACGATGTGGTGGATACCAAATCCTTTTGTTTTCGTTTTCTGCAATATCATTTTGAGACATTTTCTCGATGAAACCCATTTCGAGATCCACTTTGGTTTTTTTGGTTTATTTTTTCTTCAAGTCTATGTCTTTTTGCTGCAACGATCTCAGCTGTCCCAGTACACCTCCGTAGTTATTGGGCAGCTTGACGTTGTCTTCTGTCCATAAAAATCCAACTTTCCATCTTTCATTTTTGAATTTTGTCAGTGATTCGAGAATATGTTGAGCTCTTTTTTCTTCTCCACACAGCGACTCAAAGATTTTTGAGGAGTCCTTAATTTCTATGACCCACCACTGTTTAACTTCATTAGCTAGTTGTTCCTATGCGCAACAGAAATAAGATTGGGATTTACAATTCCTAACTTGCTGTTGTCCCAATGAGCCACTTGGTGACAATCCAAGTAGTGTCTTTACTCCCTATGGGTACCTTTTGTTTTGAGGCCTGTGCTCGATTGATATAACTAGACTGAAATTGTCCTGAACAGTTATCAGTATCACTTCAAAGTGTAATATTTTGCAAATTGGTAATATCGACAAGGATGGAAATCTTTTTTTTTGTAAAGCCTGCAACCATTGCTGGTTGATCCAGGTGACAAATCGGGATCTACCAAACAGTTGATGCGTTCTGGTTTTAGATATCTGGTTGTCACTTTCAGTGAGACCTTTTGATTGATGTTCATTGCACTGTTTGTTCAGAAGGTTCTCGTTCCTTCGCTGACAAATTCAACATTTCTTTGAGACTTTTGTCAATTAGTGTCACTGTCGACCCGGTATCTTGCAAAGCGTAAGTGTCCACTGACTTGCTTGTGTCTGGGTCAATAAGTGTTAATCTTACAATCAGAAGTAAACCACTACTTGCGGACGTTCTATAAGAGTAAGTCGACCTTTTTTGTATATCAATTCTGTTATTTCCCTTTTGTTCATGTAACAGAAGGTTGTGCTTTTTGTCGCAACCACTGATCCCACATGGACTGGTTTTACAATCCTTGATACTATGTGTTTTGCTCAAGCATTCAGACCACAGTCTGTTTTTCTTGAGAACGTCATGCCGTTGTCTCACATTTATCATTTTGAAGTCTGGACATTTTCACAATTTATGGATTCCTTTGTTACAGCACAAACATTGATCTGCATTTTTATTCAGATATCTATTGGCTTCTCTTGTTTAGGTTCTGATTTTTCCTTCTTTGGAATTGCCTTGATTGTTTCCAGGATCCATTTGCACCTCTGGATTCATGGCTAATTTTTGCAATTAACTGATCGTGCACTAACACCACATCAGTCAACCATTCACTCAGTTTAGCAACATTTGGTTCTGAGTGTCTTCTTTCAAAATAAAGCATGTCAATTTTTCTATGCGATTGAGAGGGAGCTTAGCGAGTATCATGTTGATGGTTGCAGTTGCTTTCAAAACCCCATGATCTCTGAAGTTAACAAGAATACTAACAAATGTACTCACTTTTCCAGCTAACTTCGATATTTGGTAAGAGTCGTAATTATTGATCACTGAAAAATTCTGCACTGAGATTCAACTATTATGTATGGCTCGACAAACTGTCTGGACAACAGTTTAGAAGCATGTTCGTATTGGCTCCCATTGAAGCTGAGTCCCTTTAGTATCTGCTTTTTTTGCTTTTCCAGATAGATGGCTCTTCAGATAGTACATTTATTTTTTGCTTTTGGCGATGTTGTCGTTATGCACTGTAGCCGGAACAATCCTGACCACTCCGGCCATTCCAATGGTTTTCCTCTCAAAAGATGCATTTTTTTGGTAAGCGGCGTTTGGTAAACTCCGATTTGTGAACTCACTGTTTAAATCATCTGTGTAACGGTCGTGATGTAGATATTTTTGTTGCCGATTCGATCCGATTTGAATTTCAAACTTCTAAGCATTTTTTTGGTTCGTCAGTTTGACTGAGTGATTTTACCCAGTTGTCGGTGTAGTCCCTTTGATCTTCTTTGTCAAAAGTGACTGAACTTTTCTCAGGAGATATGTGTCTACCGCACCTCCCTGGAGACATAAGTAGTTTACTCGAAAGTTTTGATTGTTTGTCGGCAATCGACAAAGTCATGTTGCCAAGTTGCTGTTTCAATCGCGCTATTTCTTCAGCCTTTTGAGTTTTCAATTCTGACAGTTTTTTTTGGGA